TTGGTCAGAAGTCGCGTGGATTCTCATTCTGCGTGTGTGTGTGTGTTTGTTTTTGTGTATGTGTGTTTGTTTGTGTGTGTGTGTGTGCGTGCGCGTGTGCGTTTCAAACACAGGTGCAGAGAGCGCAAATATCCGCACGACCTGCCCACTTGCAGTGTGGTGCTAATCTTCCACAATGAAGCATGGTCGGTATTGCTGAGGTCCATACACAGCCTCATGCGCAGAACTCCTGAACATCTGCTGCACGAGATTATCCTCGTCGACGACTTCAGCACGAAACGTGAGTGGAGTAGTAAGCAATACTCAGCACTCGCACGTGTGTGTGTGCGTTGGGGGGGCACGTTTGTGTGTGCTTGCGCGTGCGTGTGTGTGTGTGTACATGTGTGTGTGTGTGTGTGTGTGTGCGTGTGTGCACGCGCATGTATGTGTGGGCGTGCGTGGGCGTGTTTCATTCCGATCCTGTCGGCGATCGTTCACACCCTGTGCATTTGCAGGTTTGCGTGCTACTCTTGCGACGGGCGTATAAAAATAGATAGCATACATACATGTATGTGTATATGTGTGTTTGTGTGTGTGTGTGTGTGTGTGTGTGTGTGTGTGTGTGTGTGCGCGTGTGTGTGTGCATTGGTGGTCGATTCACGTGGCTTCGCCAGTTGTGTGGATTAGACAGTTATCTGGCGCAAGTCTTGATCTGTCTCATTCAGATCTTGTTCGCTATCGTTGCTATAAGAGAAAATCTGTGGGTGCACATCCAGTGCATTTGCGGATTTGCATGCTTCTCTTGCGGCGGGCGTATACATGGTACATGGTGTGTGTGCGTGCATGTGTGTGTGCTTCTGTGTGTGCTCTCGTGTAAGGGGGGGGGGGGGGGGTTAGAGGGGGTACGAGTTTTATGCATCAAAAAAGGACCTCACAGCCACTGCCATCATTTGGGTCGATACTGTGTTCATACACATGTACCTGTAAAGTGCTGGCACCTGAAGTCCGACCCCCGGAGCGGTGCGCTCGCTTTGCAATACCCAGCACGAGATTGCAACACTATGACATAGAGACCGCTAGAATCGGTGCTTCACTCGAGCACGAAAATCAGGAGGTTGGATTTCAGTTGCCACGACTACATTAAAACCTGTAGCAGGAGGTTGGATTTCAGTTGCCACGACTACATTAAAACCTGTAGCTAAAGACCACCATGACGAGCGACCAGCCTGGTACTACAGACCACTTTGCCAGGCACGGACGGTCTCACATTCATGTATGGCTGTGCGGTGCAAACCTCTAACTAAGGACCACCTGCCACTAAATACCACTTTCTCTGGCCCCAAGGGGCTGTCGTTAGTTACCGGTTTTACTGTATAATTATGTGTGTGCAATCTGTAGCTCATCTGAAAGACCCCTTGACGGAGTATGTGGGTCGCTTTGGCGGCAAAGTCAAGGTCAAGAGGCAGATTCGTCGTGCCGGTCTAACACGATCGCGCATGGCAGGTACGTGCTGATATTGCGGTGTGTGTGTGCGTGCGTGTGCGCGCACGTGTGTCGGATTCAGATCCGCTGTCGTTGCTATAAGAGAATCTGTGGATGCAGTGAATGGGATTTCGGTCTTTGACCACTTTGTGGCGGGTCTGATTTACTCACTTTCCACCGCTTTAGGAGCTGTATCTGTGCCTTCATCCATAGAGGGTGGTGGTGTTCCTATGGATGCGGAAAACCCGGCCTCCAAGTCTTACGCGAACCTGGAATTGTTTTGGTCATGCAAATTGACCAGTGTGGTGCCTGCTTGTTGAATACCGTAGTGTCTTCTATAAAAGCCTGTCTCATTTGGAAGCCTGTTTTGAATACAAGCCTGATTTTTCGAGATGCACTGTGGGCACATAAGCCTGGTTTTCATGTTGACATACATAGAGATATCTGTCTTGTATAGAAGCCTGCCTTAGAACAATAAGCGGGGGGGGGGGGGGGGGGGGGTGTTTTAACTCTGAATTTCACGCACTAAGCGATCATCAGAAAACACTTCAAAACAGTAACGAGAACATCTGGATCAGTACTATAAGTGTTACCTTCGGAACTTCAAACCATCCACAGCCATCACCCTAATCAAGTAGCAGACAACCAGGTCCAGTGCTTGTCACTTGAAGTGATACCTTTCACCACTGCTGTCATTCGCACCTTTTTGGACTTGCGCCATGATGCAGTCATTTACGCTTTGCTTTGTGTCTATAAACCAGTACTGATCCAGATTTCTCGTTACTGTTTTCTGATGATCGCTTAGTGCGCGAAACTCAGAGTTAACACATTTTTTCCGTCCTCTTGTTTGAACTAGCTCTGCCTCTCGGTACTGAGCACTCTGTTGGACAGCCTGGGATCTCTCTGTTTTGAAAGCCCGTCTTATATATAGAAGCCTGCAAAATTTCCCCCAAAAAGTCACAATAAGCCGCAGCTTTTATACACGACTTTACGGTAAGATGTATTTTGTAATGCAACGTAGTGATTCCGCTGTCTTCGCTGCCACGGCCCGCCTGCCACTGACTGTATTATTGTTTTCCCGGCTCTGCGCTGTGTTCAGGCGCGGCGGATGCCACGGGCGATATCGTCGTCTTTCTGGACTGCCATATCGAGGCGAACGCCGGTTGGTACGAGCCGCTGGCGATGCGCATCAAGGAGAACTACCGAACGGCCGTGTGTCCCACCATTGATGTCATTAACCAGGTATGTACAAGTCTACAGATATTTAGCGCACATTTATTTCCGGCTATGTTCGGCCTGACCGTATTCGGGCGGAATTTTGTTGCGCTCGGAATTTTGTTTTGCAAGGTTCGGTGTGACATTGTATACAGACAGCAGCAGTACAGGCCGATAATTTGATGTGGCCGAAACGTGTTTTAGCCCTGGGAGGCCGAAAATATACTAGTAGACCCAAAAATGTTGAGTTTACCTGTGTATAACTCCCAGAGAGCTGGGTTTACCTGTGTATAACTCCCAGAGAGCTGGGTTTACCTGTGTATAACTCCCAGAGAGCTGGGTTTACCTGTGTATAACTCCCCGCGTGTTGGGTTTACCTGTGTATAACTCCCAGAGAGCTGGGTTTACCTGTGTATAACTCCCCGCGTGTTGGGTTTACCTGTGTATAACTCCCAGAGAGCTGGGTTTACGTGTGTATAACTCCCAGGGAGCTGGGTTTACCTGTGTATAACTCCCAGAATGTTGGGTTTACCTGTGTATAACTCCCAGAGAGCTGGGTTTACCTGTGTATAACTCCCAGAGAGCTGGGTTTACGTGTGTATAACTCCCAGAGAGCTGGGTTTACGTGTGTATAACTCCCAGAATGTTGGGTTTACCTGTGTATAACTCCCAGAGAGCTGGGTTTACGTGTGTATATCTCCCAGAGTGTAGGGTTTACGTGTGTATAACTCCCAGAGTGTTGGGTTTACCTGTGTATAACCCCCCGAGTGTTGGGTTTACCTGTGTTTAACTCCCAGAGTTTTGGGTTTACCTGTGTATAACTCCGAGTGTTGGGTTTACCTGTGTATAACTCCGAGAGTGTTGGGTTTACCTGTGTATAACTCCGAGAGTGTTGGGTTTACCTATGTATAACTCCGAGAGTGTTGGGTTTACCTGTGTATAACTCCCAGAGTGTTGGGTTTACCTGTGTATAACTCCCAGAGTGTTGGGTTTACGTGTGTTTATACCGACCTAATATACACCCCCACTCACCACCCTACAGTGCACCAGGTATGTACTGGTACTTATTGTACCAGTGATTGAATATTCCACTTCATATTATACCAGTGAACCAATAATATACCTGATATTATACCAGTGAACCAATAAAATACTTGATATTATACTGCTTTTTTAGGAATGGAAATAGCCACAGCAAAAACCAGCAAAATGAGACAGGGAAATTTAGACTCAGGAGCTCAAAACAGCAGCAAAACCGAACAAATCCATAAGCAAAATTTAGACAAAGAGACCAGCATCAAAGAAAACAAAAATGCAGGCAATCAAGACTCATCATTCTCTGGCTTGACCTTCTTCTTCAGTTTCAAAGGTAAGCGAGGGTTTCTGGGAGGAGCAGCACGTGCAGGAGGATAGGGTGATAAGCTGATGGTTACATTCGATGAGCCATAAACACAAATTCCACCAGGGGACACAGGTGGCACAACAGACTCAGCAGCAGCACTAGTTTCTGACGAAGCACAAAGTACAGTATTTTCTTTGCCAGGAGCTGATTTGGTAGTGGCAGGCTTACAATCAATGGCGGAAGCTGTAGCACTGGCATCAGCGAGAGTAGGCCTATCATAAGCTTGTAAAGATTGAACATTCTTATGTCCGCTGACAGCCATAATCTTCCTATCCTCTATTCCTGCAAATTTCATCAAAGTGATGGAAGTCGCTCTAAGACAGTGATTCGTGTACGACTGTGACAAATTGCTAGCTTCTGAGAGCCTTCTCATCATGGCAGACAAAAGATTATGAGAAATGGGAGCATTCATGTACCAACAAGAATCTGCCATACCTTTGGTGATGCGAGCCCGTTGAAATAGCCTGTCACATTCGGGATGGAGATGGGAGAGGTACTTTTTGATGACACGGATTTGACGCTGGTCCTCGATACACCCAATTGAGGAGAAGCTGCTTCCCTTCAGACCGCCGGTGTGATTCTTGCTCATGAAGTCAGTTGCAAGCGTCACCCTTTCTCTTCCGTCTGGGCTGCTGAAGACAAGGTCACTTTTCACAAGTTTCGCCTGGACCTCGCCACCTCGGAGACAAAAGTGGGTTGTACTGATGAACCACACATACATGGACAACTTGATTGGGTCCTGTGTGTCCTGAACATCGGCGAAATGTTCCTTCAATTTTTCCAAATCTCCAGGACTAATGGCGGATTTGTGCTCCACGGCTGGTTCTTGGCCCGACCTTTTCCGTTCCTTCAGTGCACCGTCCAGTACCTTGTTGGATTGCTTGAATTCCGCATCGTTGAATATATTGACAGTGGGCCGCAGAGAAATCAAATGGCGACTAACCGCAGCTCGGCCTGCCACCAAACTGTTCCGCTTGTACGGCTCGCCGTTCTTCCGCTTCGCATCAGCGTAAAAGCCTTCCAGAAGCTTGGCAAGCTCAGGTACAGGTGTCAATTTAAAGTCCAAAGGAACAGATTTTTCCTCGGCATAATCTTCCAGAGCCCTGATCCACGTGCTGGTGGCCTTCTTCGTTGAAACGGGTACGGCATCATCAACAAATTTAGTTCTTTCTTCCTCAGCGGAGGAAGCAAACCTCTTCGCACGTGGCTCCATCTCAGAAATGAATGTGGTCATGGGGAGCATGCGCAATTGAACACCGGCATCAGAGCAGCTTTTTCGAAATTTTCTTGTAAAAAACATCAAAAATCAGCGTGTACGTGTACGTGTCGGTACGTGTAGCCTGTAGGTACGGAACGTGTGGTGATGCCAGTGGATTTTGAAGTATTTTATCAGCGAAGGAAATTGTTGTATTATGCCTTCCACAATCTCTCCCAGGAAGTGTGGTGAGTGTGTGGTGTATATATAGGTCGGTATATGTAGGATAAACCCTTCAGCTTCGTGTTTATTGGGAATATATTTCTTTCATAAACACCTCACCTACGGCTTGGTGTTTATTCTGAAATATATTCCCAATAAACACTCAGCTTCAGGGTTTATCCTATACATAACCCCATGTACCATAAAGTACAGCAAGAGCATCCCACCATCTCGTCCTTTCGTGGTCGTATTGTGGAGGTTTTGTCCTGTCTGTAGGTCATACGACGCGGGCCTTGTACACACATTGCACATTGTCCACTCAATCCGTACTCAATTGATCTTCGAGCGGACACGAGCTTCACACAAAGATCTGCCAAGTGTGACCTTAGTACACTGAGGTTCTCACACCGCACAAACTTCGTTGCACTCTGCCATACGAATTTCCTTTCTCCTGGCTGTAAAATTCAACGTGCGGCACACTCGCGGTTCTTTACGGTATAATCTCAGCGTGTTGAGTGTACCTGTGTGTAGCCCTGCAGTGTTGGGTTAGATTTGGGTTAGATTGTGTTTGCCTCAGGATTGTATAGTGTGAAAGTCCACCAGCAGACAAAGAAAGTCTGATACACTCATGCTTCGTTTATCCGGACCGGGCACTGCGCTTACCCCTTTGAATGTCCGTTGCTCCGATTCACATACATGTTTACGGGGAAAGGCCATATAATAGGGAGGTTTAGTTCCCACGTAACGGAAGCGCGTACGTGGGTGATCCACGTAAAGTGGATGAAGGGCACCCACGTTGCAATGTTGTGTTTAGTCACACGGAACAAACAAAAGCATAAAGCGAAAGGCCCAAACCTGGTCAAAGACGAAGCTACCCGGGCCTAAGAAGCTCATCCAATATTTTGATTTCGTGCTTCGGAAACTTCTTCAGCTGAGCACCCTCACAGCTTGCACAATGCACTCCATTCTGATTTTCACCCACGTTCTGGCAGAACGTGGGTGAGCCTTCATACACGGTATGTCGTGAATCAGAAAACGTCTGTACGTGGGTCACTGAGTATCACGTGGTACACACACGTAAAGTACCCACGGATTACGTGAGACTAAACCTCCCTAATAGATACGGCATGTGACCTCACTATTTCCACAAAAAAGTGACAAAAGAGTAGTAATATTTCCACTAAAGCTTGCTCAAAGGGTGCCGGATAGATCGAAGTGCCCGTAACTTTTGGGGTCCGGAAAACCAAGGTATGAGTGTGCCTTCTGTGTAAAGCCGACAAAGACAGTGTCTGTACAGTGCTGACAACTGAAATCCGACCCCTGAGTGTTGCGTTCACGTTCTGGCGGTCTCTGTTTTCGTAGTGTTACAATCCCGTGTTGGGTCTTTGCGATGTGAGCGCAACGCTCAAGCGGTCGGATTTCAGTTGCCAGCACTAAATGTCAAACTGCCAGCTGTACATTGATTAACCCTCATCCCGCCATCTCCATGCGGCATGCCTCTTTCCCTCCTGGCCTGTGCTTCTAGGACAACTTCAACTACGAAGGGGTGACCGACCCGTTCGTGATGGGCAGCTTCAACTGGAACCTGATCTACACGTGGCGTGGTATCCCACCGAGAATTCGCAAGGAGGATGTCAAAGACGAAACGTCTGAGTTTAGGTCGCCAACTATGGCTGGTGGTCTCTTCGCCATGGACCGCAAGTACTTTAATGACCTTGGCACGTATGACTGGGAAATGGACATCTGGGGAAGTGAGAATCTGGAGCTTTCGTTTCGCGTGAGTCCTACTTCTGCTGTTGTGACTGTGTTTTGATGGTGTGTGCGTGTGTGTGTGCGTATGTGTGCATGCGTGTGTCTGTGTCTGTGTGGCCGTTTTATGCCGACGTACTCCATGTGGTGTAGACCAGGTGTGCATTGGTGGTCAATTCACATGGCTTCGCAGATTGTGTGGATTGGGCAGTTATCTGGCGCTAGTCTTGATCTGTCTCATTCAGATCTTGTCCGCTATCGTTGCTATAAGAGAAAATCTGTGGGTGCACATCCAGTGCATTTGCAGATTTGCGTGCTTCTCTTGCGACGGGCGTATCCATGTACATGGTACATGGTCTGTATGTGTGTGTGTGTGTGTGCGCGTGTGTGTGTGTGTGTGTGTGTGTGTGTGTGTGCGTGCGTGTATGCGTGTGTGAATTCACCGACTCACTTCTCTCTCTCTCTCTCTCTCTCTCTCTCTCTCTCTCTCTCTCTCTCTCTCTCTCTCTCTCTCTCTCTCTCTCTCTCTCTCTCTCCTGCCCCGTGTTTGTACAGCTGTGGATGTGTGGCGGTCGGCTGGAGTTTGTGCCGTGCTCGCGCGTTGGCCATGTGTATCGACGAGCGTCGCCGATCAGCTTTCCGAAAGGCGTCGGCAAGACAACGCAACGCAACGCAAGACGATTGGCAGAGGTGAGTGCGACATGTGATGAAGGCCACGATGTATGATACGCTCAAATCCCAAAAAAATTTCATCGCAAACCTGTGCATTTCTTGAAGGCGCAACATTTGTGAGGCGCAAAGTTCGCCAGTTTACAGTACCATTTGTTTGCGTTCTTTGTGTGTCTACATTAGGTGTGGTTGGATGAGTACAAGAAATTGTTCTACGAGACCAGCTCACCAGACATCATGAAGGTCGACCCTGGAGACTTGAGTGACCGGCTTGACCTTCGCAAGCGGCTCAAATGCAAGTCCTTCGACTGGTGAGTGAAGTCGTATATGCACGCTTACACTCTACGTCTCCCCCCCCCCCCCCCTCCCCTTTCTCTCTATTTGTTGATCAGGCGCGTAGGTCGCATGGCGGATAAAAATTTCAACCTTCATGTAGGTTTAGCATGCCCATAATGACCATGGATGGCATGTATCTGCCATCCTACACACATGCGGCCGTGCCCCCCCCCCCCCCCCCCCTAAAAAGAGGACCAGCTACGTCCCTGCTGACGGTAGGCAGAGTTTTCTCGGGCTAGCAATCATCGGACAGCGCTGTCTTATGATTGCGAACGCGTAAGACTCTTGTCTCCAAAAAAAAATAAAAAAATAAAAAAAAACTCTGACGCGTAAGACTCTGTCTCTGAGTAGACCCAGGTGCTCGAAGTCACTTTTACAGTGTGTGTTTGCCGAGCTGAAGCTCACACTAGCAATGATCACTTTCCAGAATCCTGCTCGTGGATGGAAGGTATCTTGTCCAAGTTTGTTCTGAGGCCAGGCTCGATTGAGCCAGGCCATCTTTCGATCCGATCTGTTTCTCTGGAGTTCGCTGATTTTTCATATCAAATTTTGGTGTCGCAGAGGGTCCTCTAAGTCCGTACTGATCAGAGGTGACTCGAAATACACACATATTTCTGCTAATTGCTAACTTGCAATTACTCGGTTACGACGAAAGCACCGAAGGGATATGTTTGGCATGTGCCTCCACAAGTATTTCTTGCAAAAGCGTAGTTTGTCACCGAAATGCAAGCTGTTTTTAGTCGGCTCAGAGAAGAAGCAGCTACGCTGTGAAAACCGCGGGAAAACAGTGGTGGAGATGCCAGGAGTGTCAACCTTTCTGCAAGGATTGGTGGTTCTCTGTAAATTCTTCTCCTCTGGCCATTCTCAACTCTAAGCTGGCTCTTGATGATTGAGTGAAGGTCTGTTTGACGCTGTGGCCGTTCGAAATCGGTCTTGGCAAAGTTGATTTTTGCATGAAATGTAACCCAAATTGTATTTTGTATGGACACTCGAAAACCCACTCGCGTGGTATGGGCCTTCTGCTTATCGTAGATCCCTGAAAATTGCTACGCGAGGAGAACATACCACACTGTCCCCTAAAATATTTGAGTCGAATACAATAACAGAACATGACATTATGGACGTACGAACTTAGGATACCATGTACGGACTTCGAGCACCTGAGTCTACCAGCAACGAAGCCTAGCCCGATTGTCACTCTCCCGTCCCCTGGGCGCGAGTCGTCTTGGCACTGGTCGGCCCTAGCAAGTTGAGACAAATCCACAAACCTCTTTTGTGTGTATCTATCTATCCATCCATCTATCCATCTGCCTATCTATTGATATCTATCGATCTATCTATCCATCCATCCATCCATCCATCCATCCATCTGCCTATCTATTGAGATCTATCGATCTATCCATCCATCCATCCATCTGCCTATCTATTGATATCTATCGATCTATCTATCCATCCATCCATCCATCTGCCTTTCTATTGATATCTATCCATCCATCCATCTGCCTATCTATCGATCTACCCATGCATCCATCTGCCTATCTATCGATCTACCCATGCATCCATCTGCCTATCTATTGATATCTATCGATCTATCTATCCATCTAGCCATCCATCTGCCTATCTATTGATATCTATCGATCTATCTATCCATCTGCCTATCTATTGATATCTATCGATCTATCTATCCATCCATCCATCCATCTGCCTATCTATTGATATCTATCGATCTATCTATCCATCCATCCATCCATCTGCCTATCTATTGATATCTATCGATCTATCTATCCATCCATCCATCCATCTGCCTATCTATTGATATCTATCGATCTATCTATCCACAGTTGTCTAAGGTCCCCAAACTGCATATACCGTAAAGTACCGCCAGAGCGCTCCGCCATCTCGTCCTTTCTTGTTCGTATTGTGGAGGTGGTCTGCTGTCTGTAGGCCATACGACACGAACCTTGTACACATATTGCACGTTGTGCAATCAATCCGTGCCTTCAAGCGGACGCGAGCTCCACACCAGAACCTGCTAAGTGTGAGAACCTAAGTGTACACTAAGGTTCTCACACCGTACAACTTCATTGCACTCTGCCATGGGATTTTCCCTTCCCTGGCGGTAAAATCAAGGTGGGGCGCTCTGGCGGTACTTTACTGTGCATGTAGTGCTTTATGCCCAGTGGACAGAGTCACTAGTACGACACTCACGCGGCAATGACACAACCCACGTTTTTCTCTGCCGTTGGTTACGTGTTAAAAACACTAACCAGGCAGCATTGTGTAGTGTGAGTATTGTATCGACTAGTATCCATCCATTCGCCCATTCGTCCATCCATCCATCTGTTAGTTTTTCTTTGTAAATCTGTGTGTGTGTGTGTGTGTGTTTATTTGTGTGTGTGTATGTGTGTGTGTGTGTGTGTTTATGTGTGTGTGTGTGTGTGTGTGTGTGTGTGTGTGTGTGTGTGTGTGTGTGTGTCTGTGTCTGTGTCTGTGTTTATGTGTGTGTTTACGTGCGTGTTTGTGTCTGTGTGGATGTGTTTTTTGTGCACATCCGTGCTTGCTCCTGTAGGTTCCTGCAGAATGTTTTCCCTGAACATTTCGTTCCAGATCCAAAGTTCATGATGGCATGGGGAGAGGTATGTCAATTGTGTCTTATTGTTCACCAGTTCTATCTCTTAATTTGCTGGCCAAAAATCCTATATATAGGATTTGAAAATGTGTGTCTTTTATGCCGTTGTTATTGGTCATCACGACCAATAATAACGGCATAATGGTTTTCATGGAAGTTGTAAATATGTTTGAGGCATGAATGTTTACATTTTAGATTCATAGGGTGATAATATTTCTGATGAATACCCATTTTCAGCAATAATTGGAAATTTGAGCATAATTGTTCAGCTGCTGTCATGGAAAGGACTGAAGCAGTGAATGTGCAGAAGAACATTGCCGGTGTGGCACGGGGTGGTTTCATGATGACATATCGCACATGCCGTCATGAAACTACCAGTTTTAAGGATAAAACAAGGTCCAATAAAATCTCAAATCCTATATATAGGATTCGAAAAATAGGGCACAGGCCTTAGTAATATTGAGCAAGGAGATGAGCCTGAGATGTTAGTGTTTGAAAAAATTATCTTATTCAACTCTCGATATCTACTAAGACCTAGCAAGGAAGAATTGGTCACATACTTTTTGCTATTCTCATGCCACACCCATTTTGAGTTGAAAAATATGACCAAAATCCTATATATACAAAATCCTATATATAGGATTTAGCAAATTAACCCTTTTATATGTACTGAAAAAATTGTACACAGACTGAATTTGATCTCGACTCACCTCAAATTCTATAATTATCTGGGTCATAACTTTAGTCTCCTTTTGACGATTTTTTCAATCTTGGGCTTCCTGGAAAGCTCGTCGCAAGAGGAACACATTGAGCCCACGCTTGCCACCACGAAGGTCAAAACGCCAGCGCTACAGCCCAGCGTCTTAGCTGCAACGCCACTATTCCGACAGAAGTCGTCTTGCATCAGCCATTTCGCTCTCCTTGCTCGTAACAACTGTTACTTCAAAAAAATTTCACAAACTGCCATGAGTCCGTTTACTATTTTGAACGTGTTTCTACGTCACTGCATGCCCAGAATAATGGGGAAATCCCTCATTCAAATTTGCGCGAGCGGCTATTGAGCGACATTTGCCGCGATTCGACTTTCGAGCTTCGTAACTCTGGAACCACACATCGGAGCGCTTCAGCGATTGTTTCAATGGACAGCTGGAAGTTTTCTCTTTGACCTACATATTTTAGTTTTCGGATATAACCCAGGAACGACTGAGTTGCGATCGATTGAAATTTTGAAAAGTTTCGATCCCAGGGGATCGAAAGTTGTACAGTCCGTACACAAAGGGTTAACCCTTTATTGGCCGATTAAAATATAAACAAGCCCACGCAATCGCCAAACCTGTAACTAAATTGGACGTAACTTTAGTTTGCACTGGACAAATTCCACGATCTTGGGCATCCTGGAAAGGCCTTGACGAGAGGAGCGCAATGAGCCTACACTCGACTCCACGGGATGCACTGGCCCAGCGCTGCAAGCCAGGGAAGGCCCACCAGCGCTGGGCTCACGCTCGAGATCTATCTCTATCCACCATTTCACTCCTGTTGCTCGTATCAAACTCAAAATTTTCGTAGACACTCCCGGGAACCTGCTTTTGAAGTTGAATCGGTGTAGCCTTGTCAACAGGTGACGCAAGCAGGGAAAATCCCGGCTGTTGACCCACGCATCGCACTCTGAGCACAAATTTCCCGGGACCAATATTACGAGTGCTATAACTTACGAACCGCTCTTTGTATCGCTTTGAAAATTGTTTGAGGCGACAGCTGAGAGTTTTCTCTTCGACCTACATATTTCGATCTCTCCGAAAGACCGAGATTTGACCAAGTTACGATAATTTCAAAATGCCTACCCCATCGAACATCGGTGTTCGATCAATGTATGGGCCAGCCAATAAAGGGTTAAGAGATAGTTAGTGCATTTCAAAAGTATACTGTAAGACCAGTAGTGTTAACGAACATTTAATTCCCGTAGCTATGCAGAAGACGTTACTTCAGTAACGTCTGGCGCTAGCCAGGGTCCACACAGCTTTAATTTGGTGTTTGTTTGTTTGTTTGTGTCACGCCTGGCGCTATCCCGTATCTGTCCCGTACCGTATCGCACAGCTGGCCATTTGCTGGCTCCCGTATCTGTCCCGTACCGTACCGTACCATCAAACACAGCTGGCTACAAACAGCTGGCCACAATATTATGTACGTGTATACGACTCCCTGTGTGTTGCATATGTGCTTGAAGGGGACGGTTGCACTTTTTGTAGCTCCGTTTTATCTGAGTTTTCAGTCGTTCCTTTTACTAGTCTTGCCAAGGGGGCGGCTCTGGGTCCACCAGAGTTGCCCCTGGCGTATTTCTGAATTTGCTGGGGCGAGGGTTCCGCGACGCGGTCGCCAAGGCAGTGTCTTTTCAGTCACGACCGTTGTCGTCCTCGTCTCTCCATTCGCGGTGGTGTAGCTGACCCCCGAATGGTTTCAAACTGCGAAGCTCGGAGGAGTACAGTGGTGGCAGAGGCATGAGCTGTGAGTGGAGACGGTTGCTGGAGATGGATGGTGATGCAGGGAGAAGAGTTACGCTGCCTGACGCCGCGTGGAAAATTGTTTGAACCTGCAATTTCAGTTCGAGCGCGGTGGACTTCTAGACGATGTGTCCTCATGGCTGTTTTTCAACGCTTGGCCTATCGCTGATATCCCTGCGTGGGATGTTCTTCCAGTGGAGTCCAGGTGGGACTTCGGGTGCCCACACTCCATCACCTGGTTAATTGTTTCGGAACTGCAAAAATAATTATTGTTTCCTATTTTGTGCGCATCTCTTGTCATCTCTCTTTTCTATACGTCGCACACCAGATGTACTACTATCGCCGTCTTTGTCTTGCTTTCTCTCCCTGATTGCTGTTTTTTTCTGTTTCTGTTGCCACTGTCCCTCATCATACCCATGCTTGGGTGGTGGGCGGCGTGACCCGTTAGGGTAGCTGCCAATACAGTACGACTCCCTGATGTATAGAGAGACTTTCTGGAAAGAAATAGGGAGACGAGGAGGAAATGAAATTAGAATGGATGTTAGTTGCCGAATAGGTGATAGGATGCGTCAGCAAAAACATACTTTGGAAGAGAGATCCCGTCGTCTCCAAAATAGGCGTGAACGGGCGAGTCAGCGCCGGTCACAGGAAACGTCTGCAGAGTGATCCCGTCGACTCCAGAACGCGCGTGCTCGGCAGAGTCAGCGCCTTCCCAGGAAACATTTCCATCAGTTCCCACAACATGCACGATGAGCTAAGTAACAAAGCATAGCGTAGGGCCCTGAGCTTCCAAGCTCTCTCGTTTTAACGATTTAACGAGTTTTAAAAATTCGTTAACAATTGAACTCGTTATGTACTAAACGATAATACATGTACAGTCGTTTGCCAGTTTTGACACAGAATTCGTTAGAATTTCACCTCGCTAACCCACAAAAATCCGGAGATCGTGAACTTTAATTGACGTTAAAATATCCGATCTTACAGTAGACCTCAGACAAATAATTCAATTTTGTGCAAAAGAGAAAGACCAAGGAACTACAAGTTACGCTATACTGTCCACTAACACCACCTTGGTCTTTCTCTTTTGTATAAATTAAACCTTGGCTCTCCATCTGAGTCAATTCAATTTTGGTTTGAGCTTTTTGAGAAATTTCTTTGGCATATTCCTCGGGCAGTTCCCGCTATTTTTCTCATTTAATTTTCTAAGTGATTCGATAACAGACGCCCTATTTTGGAAAATTTATGCACAAAGTGATCACAGATGTGATGTGGTATAGATGCTGGCCTGAAGGTTTTTGGAAACCAGAGGTCTATACTTTTGAAATGCACTATAGCTCTTTGTGACCTGGGGTCGAGGGACTGATTCGAGTGTCAAATCACTGGATTGTAATTTGAGTGGAGACCAAGTGTGCGTGCGTGTGTGTGTGTATGTGTGTGTGTGCGTGTGTGTGTGTGTGTGTGTGTGTGTGTGTGCATGCGCTCATCCTTGGCGTGTTTACAGCTGCGTAATCCCGAGTCTCAGATGTGCTTGGACATGATGTCGAAGAAGGATGCCCAGACGCCCGCGTCACTTTATCCATGTCATGGTCAAAAGGGGAACCAGGTGAGTTCACGATTGCTGTAAAACCAGGTATTTTCGGTGGTGTAATATTGTCTGTATTTCCCAAAATCAACGGTTCGGTAGCGCGAAAATTTCGGTAGACCAGTTTTCCAGATCCAAAAATGCATTTTGCACACCGTGTGGCATGGCATTGTTGAATTTTCGGTCGCGTTTTTTTATGTATAAAATTCCCTGTACCGAAGTTACCAAAAATAAATCTCTACCGAAATGTTCCGGTTTTACAGTAGCAGTAGTTCGATAATGCTACTGTCGTGGATATTGAAATCCGGTGGAATGACCGAGGCTGGCGCCCTTACTAACTTAGTGCGTACACGCACTCTAGTTCACGTACGCACTGCAAAAATGGACCAGCAGTGCTCACGGCTGCGAGGCAAGCGCCCCATGGCTGCTTGACTTCTCAACAGATGTCAATGTTTCGTTGATGCCATCTTCAGTAGGTCCGTGAAATGGTAGTGGTAGATTTTTTCTTTAGGCCAGACGACGCTTGCAGACACCAGCACAAGCACTGCACCAGCCACATTCCACAACAGCTAGAAGTTGCTCCTGACAAGCCTTGTTTTGTTCCATTATGATGTTGGGAACTCATCAGAGGAGAGGTAGATGTTGAATGAAATGGGTTGAACTAAATGATATTGGTTTAAAGAAGGTATTGGCGCAATGTGTGTACACTCAACGAACTATCACGTGTGACAAAACAACACGAATGAAATCGTGCAGAATGTAGGTGTTATGAAACCTACCTACACAACTATCACAGGTGCTTAGTCAATCACAAGGAGAAAGAGAGGTACACAGAATAGGTTGCGCTAAAAAAACTACACGTCACAAAGTATACTGATGCGGTGACAAAGATGGGTGCAAAGTAGAAGCCGAGTGACAGCCAACAAAGGAGTGTGTGATGCCGTGGCGAACTGTGAGATCTTGAAGTCATAAGTCAAAAAGAAGTCAACCATGACTTCTCCTGGACCAGGAAATCTGGTATTGATGTGAAGAAGGATGATCTGCTGCAAGGATTATAGCGTCAGACGCCAACCCTGTTGTCAAGATCTAGATGGAAACGTCGCTTTAGCATTTCATAGTTCGCCACTGCACCACACTCCTTTCTACCCAACGTCAGCTTTCGAGGTTCGTGTGCAATTAGCAACTTTCAAATGTGACGTTAGACGTCCAGAATGATGATTTTGTTGGCTGTCACTCGGCTTCTACTTTGCACTCATCTTTGTCACCACGTCAGTATACTTTGTGACGTGTAGTTTTGTTAGCGCAACCTATTCTGTGTACCTCTCTTTCTCCTTGTGATTGACTTAGCACCTGTGATAGTTGTGTAGGTAGGTTTCATAACACCTACATTCTGCACGATTTCATTCGTGTTGTTTTGTCACACGTGATAGTTCGTTGAGTGTACACACATTGCGCCAATACCTTCTTTAAACCAATATCATTTTAGTTCAACCCATTTCATTCAACATCTACCTCTCCTCTGATGAGTTCCCAACATCATAATGGAACAAAACAAGGCTTGCCAGGAGCAACTTCTAGCTGGTGCAGTGCTCGTGCTGGTGTCTGCAAGCGTCGTCTGGTCTCATCTGGTTACAAGAAAAATCTACCACTAAGATTTGAATGTCCACAGCAGTATGATCTGACTGCTGCTGCGGCTGCTGATGATGCTGCTACTGCTGGTGGTAGTGGCGGTCGTGCTGCTGCTGCTGCTGGTGGTGGTGGTCGTGCTGCTGCTGGTGGTGGTGGTCCTGCTGCTGCTGCTGAAGATGCTGCTACTGCTGCTGAAGGTGCTGCTACTGCTGCTGAAGATGCTGCTGCTGCTGAAGATGCTGGTGGTGGAGGGGCACGGGCGATGGGCTCCTACTTTCTGATCTTGAAACATTGTTTGAATTTGTGTAGGGATGGTACGGGGAACCAGTAATCGCAGTGACTGTGTAATATTCAGGAACAGGTGGTACGCATGCTGTTGCAGGAACCAGTAGTCACCAGAACTGTGTAGTATAGATACACAGGGGATAGGCATACTCTTACGTTTTGTTTTGTTTTCTCATTCTCTTTGCCACCAGGGCTTCTTCTACACAAAGTTGAGGGAAATTCGACACGAAGAGCTGTGCTTGGATGCGTCGGAGAGCAAACCAAACGCCAAGGTGATCTGGTACGAGTGCCACGAGATGCAGGGGAATCAGAAGTGGATCAACAAGGTGAGTGTGCGTCGCGGCACACGTATGTCTCTTGTCGTCAACGCGCTGCTTCTTAACCGGTCCATACAGGTCCATTTGGTGCGTCCGTGGAGCTATGAAGCCGAGACCTCTGGCCGACTGAGCTTAACCCTTTGCGTGCTGAGTACGAGTTAACTCGCACTTTATGCATGACCTGATCCACTACGTACGAGTTAACTCGCAAAAAGTTCGCGCGCTGTATCGCAGTGCATAGACCAGTGTACAAACTTTCGTAACTTCGTCAAACATAAACGCATAGCGACAATCAATACACCGTTGGAAAGATCTTCACCTCATCTTTCCGGGGATATAAAGTTCTTCGCGATAGGATAAGAATTCATTGAGCGGCGACAAGATGAACACGGAAATCACGGCCCAGAGTGAACGCGCGCTGTATCGCAGTGCATAGACCAGTGTACAAACTTTCGTAACTTCGTCAAACATAAACGCATCGCGACAATAACTACACCGTTGGAAAGATCTTCACCTCATCTTTCCGGGGGTATAAAGTTCTTCGCGATAGGATAAGAATTCACTGAGCGGCGACAAGATGAACACGGAAATCACGGCCCAGAGTGAACGCGCGCTGTATCGCAGTGCATAGACCAGTGTACAAACTTTCGTAACTTCGTCAAACATAAACGCATCGCGACAATCAATACACCGTTGGAAAGATCTTCACCTCATCTTTCCGGGGGTATAAAGTTCTTCGCGATAGGATAAGAATTCATTGAGCGGCGACAAGATGAACACGGAAATCACGGCCCAGAGTGAACGCGAATTTTTTTGTTCATAACTTCTTTTTGTTGCAGAGCGTGCCAGGGGATTTCCCTTTTGGCACGGCGCATGCGTGATGGACATCAAATGAAGCGCTTGGATCTGAGCTTTGCAGCGCAGTTTGAATTGTGAAAATCTGTTGAATTTGGGCAAGAAGCCGAACAAGAATGTGAAATTGAGCTGTTGTGCCGTTCCGAGGCACGGTGGAGTAATTCGGAGAGGACCTGGATGTGGCCCTGATGTGTCTATGGAGCTGAGAGCTGCCAGGATGGATTCGCTTGGTCCTGATCTTTCCAACGAGCCCAGGACGATAAAAATCCATCAAGGTTGAGTAAAATCAGAATAAATTTCGTTCGGAGCTGTGAGTGCATACTCCACCAAGAGAGTCAGTGCGCTGTACGGCCAGTGGATTGGAGAAAAGGGGCTCAGCATGCAAAGGGTTAATGGGCCCCACCACCACACTCCATTATTCACCCCACTGTCTGGAGATAATGTTGATTTTGTAGGAAAAAAATACCGTGTAGTGCATGCATGCTTTTACCATAGAACTCTGTCTTGATCTTGTGGCCTGGCACGAAGGAAGCATAGACGCAGCGAATAGGATTTTTCGGTCTTTGACCGCTTTGTGGTGGGTCTGATCTGCTCACCTTCCACCGCTCAGGAGCTGCATCTGTGCCTTGATCCGTAGAGAGAGGGTGGTGGCGCTCCTGCGGATGCGGAAAACTCGGCCTCCATCCGAGCTTCACCCAAACCGCGATTTTTGTCTTGATCGTCACAGGACTCTGCAATGCGAGGCAGCACTCAGGGTTGCCACGCCAAGTTTGCCAAATCGACTGCTGTAAAACCGGATAGTTTAACGACCAAAAAGTTTACGTTTTTGTAATTTTGGCATGATTACGTGCGGAGAGTTTAACGAAGGCTACCTGGCCACCCATCCGTATTGCGCACCTTTACACAAACATCTCGCGATAACGTTTCTTCAAATAACGAAAAAAATTGTCGTTAAAACGTTAGACTTTCAGGTTTTACAGTAGCACTCCTGACGAAGCCATCTCGCGTTCATATTTGTAGAAAAGCTGCCGACTGACTCCGAATGCCGTAGAAGCTTCGGATTTGGAACTAAACTGGTCCTAGCGCCTGGTGAATAGAACGCCTTTATAGCCCAATATGCTCTTTTCTGCCCGTTTGGGTTTGGCGTTTGTGGCCGTCGAGCGCTCTACATACCGCGAGTCCTCATCGGAACAGCCGTCAGTGATGCCATCAGCAGCCGCGGTTGCCAACCTAAGCTGCATACGTGACCTGGTCTCTTCCATATCGTGCTGGTTTACACTATCATTAAGCAAATTACTACAGTCAGACCTCGCATAACCGCACACATCCGTTTTCCACAAAAATATCCAGATAGGCGAGGGAACTAGATAATCGAACACACATACCGTGTGTATGCATGGCAAATGCTGTAAATCGGTAACCAACAATTTTCTTCCGGATGGCGAGGGATCTGGATAAAAGAGGACCGGATAAGCGAGGTCTGACTGTACCCACGACGAAATACTGAGGCCTCATCACGGCATGGCGGAGTCGCGGAAACAGAAACTTCGGCTACAACACAAACTACACTGCTTATACTAACGACGGCGTACCTAATCGAATGTCGACTTCCTTCAGGAGATGTCTCGACGACAACAAAATTTAGTTTACAGAAATCACCGCGTACAGTCATTTGCCGGTTTTGACACGGAATTCGTTAGAATTTCACCTCGCTAACGCACGAAAATCCGGAGATCATTAACTTGGATTGACGTTAAAATATCTGGTCTTACAGTATTCAAGCTATCGGAACGATGGGTTTTCCGATGTGCCTGTTTGCATTGAATCCTGGGGACGAAGGTGAGATTTTGCTGATTTTCACCTGGTCACCCAAGCGGTCTCACTGCATTGCTCTGGCATTATGTACAGTCAACTTCGCTTATAATGACACTCGGCGGGGCATCAAAAAGGTGTCCTTATTTGCGAAGTGTCGTTATACCCGAAGTCTCATTATATGTATTACAGTAGGATGGGACTTTGCTCTGGGCATGGAAATTCTGTCGTTATTCGCGAATTGTCGTTATATCCGCAGTCGTTATTAGCGAAGTTGACTGTATTTGACGCATATGACATGTTTGTATGTGTGTGTCTGTCTGTCTGTGTGTGTCTGTTTCTCTGTGTTTGTGTGTGCGTCCGAATGTGTTGTGTTGTGTGTGTGCACATGCTGTATTGGTTGGTACAGGACCATAAGGTCATGTACCATCCTAATTCCAACCAATGCCTGGACAGATCTAGCTCCGCCTCCGGCAGCCATCTAGTCACCAATGTCTGCAACGGCGCAAAGTCACAGGAATTTGTGTTCGGCTCGTATTCCACGACCAACGTCTAAACTGCACGGAGAGTCATTCGATGTTTGCCTGTCCGCAGGTCAGAGTTTTGCTTGTGTGCTGACGAGGGCATGACGATGGCTGACATCACATGCACGCTGTTGATGCTTGAGTAACTCATCCTCCACTGGAGCGGCATGCCGCGCCATCTCGGAGTTCTAGTTCCGCCAGCACATTGGCGATGCCACATAGTTTACTGCTCTCTCCTGTCTCTTGTGTCACCTGTCTCGTGTCTGTCTCTCGCTCTCAGTCCCTCGCTCTCAGTCCCTCGCTCTCAGTCCCTCTTTTTCTCTCTCTCTCTCTCTCTCTCTCTCTCTCTCTCTCTCTCTCTCTCTCTCGTGCGCGCACTTCCTGTCACCTTTCGTTGCATGCGGTTGAGCACTCACTTGCTATCTCTCTCTCATATGATTCCGTGTTGCGGTGCTGTGTACTTGAGCATGGAGAAGAAGGGTGTTGAATTCTGTCGTTGGCACAACATATTCTTTTGCTTTATTCAGTAGTACTGTCTGTGGAGGTTGGCGGTCAAGTGGCTGCTACGCATATCCCTCCCGCTGCTCCTGGGCTTTGACATTGCTGCACTGTGCCAGTCAACTGCCAGCACCTGTCCACTGTGAGCCAGGAGCGGGTTTTGCTGCGCCGCTGTCGCCGGTGCAAGTGCTAGGTCGTATGCATGTAACGCTGGTGGCTACCATCAACTCTGCCCGTGCGTTTTTGCTCACACCAACTGCAGCAGCAATTGTGTGCACCTGTGCGCGGCGGCGCGTGTACATGTACATGTACACCAGTACCCGAGCTGCAATGCTGTCGATGCTCTTAGCCGTAAGCGGCCGACGCCTGTCGTGCACGCGAGTGCGGGCGCGTGTGTGGTTTGCACCTCGCTTACCGATAGCCTTCTGTCCGCTCGCTGCCATTCGGGTCCCAGTGTGTGCCCCATTACCCTGGTGATCAAGCTGCTACAGCATCGTTACCCAAATGTATAATAAACCCACCCTGTTCTGATATTCACCCGTGCGATTTCGGTTATATCTGCCGAAGTTTACCTCTTTGTACCTCAAATCTAGCACCTTTCTATATTTGCTACATCGTGCCTGCCTGCCTCAGATTGGTAAACTTTTTTATTTATCACGGGGCTTGTTTCCTTTGCAATGTTTATCATTCTCCATTGCTCTTTCCTTTCTTCCACGTTCCAGTAGATATAATGTAGGTTAACTGTTGTCGAATTTCTGGTATCCAAGACTTAGAAGACTTCTTGTGCACGTGCATGCTGTGGTGTCCCAGGTGTCTCTTGCCAAGTCTTGGTGTCCCTTCCGCTTCCCACACGTTCTTTAGGGAAGTCAACAGTGCACGCGCGTGTGTGTGTGCGCGCGTGTGTAGGGCTCGTTCGTTAGCACATGTGGGGGGCATATTGCATTTTGCTTATGCGTATGTGTGTGGGCCAGCACTCGTGCATTTGTGCCACCTTTACTGTAGCTATGGTAATATTTATGGGCAATGTAAGGTCGGCAAGGTGATTGCGACACGCATTTTAACGACGTGTGTGTGGTATCATGTACCGTAAAGTACTGCCAGCGCGCGCCGTCTCCCGTGTAACGGCCCCAAACCCTGTAAAGTGCGTTACATACTCACTGAAAATTGCCTCATATCAACTGCAAACTTGCCGCATATCAATAATATTCACCGCATCAGTATTTACCGCATATTAACCGCAAATTCACCGCAAATTATGCCATATTATGCCGCGTTTTTTCCCCGCGTTTTTTAGCGATTTTCCCCGGGGACAGATGTTTTTCATACCCGATTGTATAGTGGTGGGCAAAGAAAAACGCGACCCACGTGCCTAAAGGCCTATTCATACTCCATTTCGCTTACGGTGAACACGTCGCGAAAAAGTTGATCTGAGCTCAACTATTTCGCTTACGGAAAAGTCATTGCGCGACGGTCGCACGATGGCTTTCCCGTACGCGAGATGAAGTATGAATCTTCCTTGAAGCAGTGCCAGGGTTCATGCGGCCCATGTGGCTCTTGGATGTTGTTTTTTTGGACTACCGGTATACCGTGTATTGGAAATGAAAACGATGGGTGGGCAGAGTCGGATTTCTTTGACAACTCGACAGAGAGAGAGACAGACACAGAGACAGAGACAGGGAAACCAAGCGTTGTTACTTCCCTTCTACTTGAAGTATAGGTATACTTTCAAGCAGGGGGTATTTTACTACTACCTGCTTCTCAGAAAGTATCGAGCAGGATGAGTGATTATACAGGAACAGAACGACAATGATCTGCATGGTCACGTTAAAATCATAGTCATAGCTATATAATTATAGACTCATGCAAAAAGGGCACACATTATTCATTACTTGATTTTAACCCACAGGACTTGATTCACTTGAACCAAGGAATTCGTTTCACCTGTTTTTCTTCTTTTTTTCCTAAAAACAATCTTCGAGAAGTACAGTAAAAGCTGGTGTAAGCGACCTCTGGGTTTAGCGACCACCTGCTCTTAACGACCGTTTTGCCATGCACCGACAGTTCTGCACAGACACTGTGGGACCTGGTTCTAAAGACCACCCGGCTCTAACGACCGCTGTTGCTTGCACCGTGGGGTGGTCGCTTAAACCAGGTGTTACTGTATGACCACATGTATTTCCATGCATGAGTACACAAACAGTTTACAGGATAAACAAACAGCTGACAGGACAAACAAACAGCTGACAGGACAAACAAACAGCTGACAGGACAAACAAACAGCTGACAGGACAAACAAACAGCTTACAGGACAAACAAACAGCTGACAGGACAAACAAACAGCTGACAGGACAAACAAACAGCTGACAGGACAAACAAACAGCTGACAGGACAAACAAACAGTTTACAGGACAAACAAACAGCTGACAGGACAAACAAACAGCTGACAGGACAAACAAACAGCTGACAGGACAAACAAACAGCTGACAGGACAAACAAACAGCTGACAGGACAAACAAACAGCTGACAGGACAAACAAACAGCTGACAGGACAAACAAACAGCTGACAGGACAAACAAACAGCTGACAGGACAAACAAACAGCTGACAGGACAAACAAACAGCTGACAGGACAAACAAACAGTTTACAGGACAAACAAACAGCTGACAGGACAAACAAACAGCTGACAGGACAAACAAACAGCTGACAGGACAAACAAACAGCTGACAGGACAAACAAACAGCTGACAGGACAAACAAACAGCTTACAGGACAAACAAACAGCTGACAGGACAAACAAACAGCTTACAGCACAAACAAACAGCTGACAGGACAAACAAACAGCTGACAGGACAAACAAACAGCTGACAGGACAAACAAACAGCTGACAGGACAAACAAACAGTTTACAGGACAAACAAACAGCTGACAGGACAAACAAACAGCTTACCGGTATGTACTCTATGTACTCTTGCTGGGTTTTTTTTTAACTTCGGCCAGTATGATTACTACAGTATTCCCTTCGTCTTTGGGGTTAGACGTGGGGAAGGTGCCATACAGGGGTGGTGAGCCCGCCTTTCGGCACCTAGCTGTTTCATTCTTCATCTTGGGGGTGAGACATCGGGAAGTGCATGTGGTACTGGGATGTGAGCCATCCTCTCGGCACCGGACGTACAGCTACCAGCTTCTACCGGCACTAGTTCGACTCGAGCTCGTCTCTACTGAGTGAAGGAGACCGGACCCACACCTTGATCTGGTGAGCTGCGGAATCATCAGTGGGGATTTTTCAATCAGATGTGCGACCGCCGACTTGAAACGCACAGTACAAAAACACTTCCCCGCTATTTTAGGCTTACTCTTTCTAAACTTCTTCCTTAAAAATCAGCAGACATTGGAGATATCGACTAGGGATTGGCGGATAATGCTCGAAAAGGTGGCAGATTCTGCTCGAAAAGCAGTGAAATTGGCAGAACCATACAAACCTTATGGTGGGCAATTCCTCGAATTCTGCTCCATTTCTTTATCCACATACCAAACATGCATGAAACTTACCAGAACAAGTACAAGGGCTAATATTGACAGAAGCAACCCGGACTGGAGAGCAATATGATCAGCTAGGATAGCTTGCATTTTTTCTAATTTTTCTTCAATGCCGTGAATTGAGAACTTGGTTCACTGCCAACAGCTACAGTAGTGAAAATACCATTTCTGGACCCACTCTTCGCGCTCTTTCTCCGTATTAAAGTGGCTATCTTTTAAATAATTAAAATTATCTGACCGAGCAGGAAGCTTATCGGCCGAAGGCTGGTGCACAAAAAAGGTGCGACCTGTGCCAGCTGAAACGGCGAAGATTATCCGCGCTAAGGCATCCAAGCTTCTCAACAAAAATCATAATTGATAAATATGGTAAGAATGTCGACAGCAGAATATTATTATTCTACTTGAAGTACCTCAATCGCTATTGGTGTGGCTTAGGACCTGCCTGCCATCACGGTGACTTACCGCTCGTGCGGCCAGATGATGAACAGATTATCAGTAACTGTTGTCTGAGGATTGCCTCAGCCTTGCTGGTGACGTTATGCACATGAATTGGATTGTACCTATACATGCACGTCTACCAGAAGGACCGGATCAGAACCGGGGTGCCAGCAGCAGCATAGGCTCTGGTCAGCTCCATGCTTGCGATCGCTCTGGGTTCTGACGTAGAACGTCACAAGCAAGACACTCAAACGGCCATGGATGCAGCGACGGGCGGATATCAAAACTTTCGCTGCGTCTTCGAGGGTAGGAAGACAACGCCTCTCGAAGAGCCCTGCAGTGGAAGTCCACAGCGGAAAGCCAAAGAAGTAGTAGTAGTAGTAGAAATTATTATAAGTAAATATGTAAAATTATCGTATCCGTTCCCGAAGGGAACTTACGATGGCTAACACCCAGTAAACCCTAGCGGCAGATGCAGTACCTAACGGTGGGGGTGAGTGGATAAGTCTCACAACCACTTGTGCAAGTGCAGAGAAACCCCATTTAGTCGCATCTATGCACCCCTTGTGCCTGGCCACAAGTTCCCAGTTCGCAATGGGTTGGTCAAAGACCATCATCGGATTTAGATACGAGAGGTCCCTGGTTCAAGTCCTGCCTGGGAGCGGTTTTTCCAGCCATACTGCTACCCACAGTCAACTGGGAACTTGTGGCCAGGCACAAGGGCCATAGGGGTACTTCCTACGTTAACAAAAACTTCGTGATGGATTTTGATGGATATGAAAACGCTTAGAACAGGTCAAGAACAGTTTGTATCCACTGCAAATTACTGAACGAAGGTAGTTCAGCTCATCTACAGCGTCTGTACAAGAGAAACTGCTGGCGGAATGAGCAGAGAGTTCCGCTTGCGTCGCTTTCGCTCGACTCATTTTTGACCCTGCATCGCTGTCGTCATCTGTTGCACGCGAGTCGTCATATCTCTCGAGTCGTTGCTCAGCTCGTTTCAGCCTTGCCTCGGCTTCTTTCATCACACTCCGCTGAACTTGATGTCGCCGTCTTTCAAGTAAGTTGGCTTTCAAGCTGCGTGACCTGCCGCGGTGGCGATTACTCGTTTCCACCAGGTAGTCGTAAAAATATTTTACGACTCCCTGGTTTCATCTCCCCTCTCCAGAACTCCGCGAAACGAGGAGTAAAGTCACAGCAAAACTGATTCCATTTTCTCTTATGGATACTCCTGCCAGCACTGAACGGCAGCGGCTAGCAAGCTTAGTCCATTCGACTTTCCTTAGCCACGAGACTCGCGTCGAAATGCAGACTTCTGAAAGAATGCATGGTCATCAGCATTCGAATCTGGGCTTTCCGCAGGTTGAACAAGAACTTGAATTCAGAGTTTTTTCATTGCGCCGTGGGTTCGGAGCAGCTCCTTGTTCACTCGCTCATTGTGTGGGTTCGCTGCTCCGTTCCATTGCTCTCTAATATATATTATCACTCTCAAACTCAGTGCTAGAGTAGTAGAGGGGCCAAGCGGTGCATTATCCCCTCGGAGAAGTGGTATTTCAGTTTCGTTCGACATGACTGTCAACACCTATGTTGCCACAGCCGAACCATCGATTCGCCTCGGCTTGTTGTGAATGGCCGCTTTCCTTGCATCGTGCCCCTTTCATGGCATGCCAGGGAAGGCCGAGAAAGTGATCGCGCCTCATTTCATGGCGGCTCTGCCAACCAATGATGGTTGTAGTCAGGAGCACTGTTTTCAACACAGTGCGTCCACCGCTTTGTAACATGCTGTCAAACTTTCACCAAGTCAAGACCTTTCCTTATTGTACATAACTGTCATTGGGTCAGGTACTGCTCAACACTGAAAACAATT